ATGGACGATATTGGTTCGCAGTTTTCTTGTCTTTTTCTGGTTTTAGCATTAGGGTGATACAAGGCTAATGGGATGAGTTGGGAAGCAGTGTTACCTCTTTTTCAATTTTCTGGAAGAATTTGTGTTGGGTTACTATTATTATTTTTTTAAATGTTCTTATAGATGTAGATGGACACCATGTTTTTATTTTATTTTATTTATTTTTATGTGGTGCTGAGAATCAAACCCAGTGTCTCACACGTGCTAGGCAAGCACCCTGCCACGGAGCTACAACCCAGCCCCCAAGTGACTGATATTTTTGCTGAAATGTTTGACAGAATTCACTAGGGAAAACATCCAGGATGGGAGTTTTTTTCCATGAGAAGGTTTTAATCATAAATATAATTTCTTTAGTAGATTCAGGGGTAACAAGGTTACATATTCCTCTGGAGTGGGCTTTAGGGGTGAGTCTTTCAAGAAATCTGTTAGTTTCACTTAAGTGGTTGAATCTATTGGTAGAATATTTCCCATAATAGTCTCTCTTTGTTTTTTAAATCAACTTGCATGCAAAAGGCCCTGAGTTCAATCCCCAATACCAAAAAAAATAAAAATAAAAATAAAAAAAAAATAAAATAAATTCATTGTAATTAGTTGTCCATGACAGTAGAATGCATGTTGACACATTGTATACAAATGGAGCTCAACTTCTTCCTCTGGCTGAACTCGGTGCAGAGTCCCACCAGTGGTGCAATCATACATGTATATAGGGTAATAATAGTCTGTGATTATCATTTTAAAGTCTGTAGGATTTGCTTTCCTACCTCTTTCCTGATGAGCATAGCTAGAAGTTTAAACATTTTATTGATTTTCTCAAAGAGCCAACTTTAGGTTTCATTGACTTTATTATTTTTCTATTTCTCTGATTTCTCCTATTTGTTATTTTGTTTCTTCTGCTTAATTTAGGTTGAATCAACTTTTTTTTTCCTTTTTCTAGTTTCTTGTGCTTTCTTCTTTGACTCATATTTAGAATTGTGTTACATAGTTTGAAGGGACTTTCTGGTCCCAAAACATCTTTCATCTGATTTAAAGTCTTTAAATTATACTGTGTGTGAGATCATGTTGGGGACCTTCAGGGGCTGCCCAGGGAGGGTCCTGTTGCGGGGTGCGGGGGGAGACGTGTGACCTGCATTCTGAGTCACTGGAGGGTTTTAAGCAGAGAGGGGGTTTGAACTGTGTTTCTAAATAAGCATTGAGGCTGCGTATGAGGACGGTGCGGATGTCAGGGACCAGAGGCGATGGAGGCATGGATCAAGGTGGTCGCCACAGAGAAGGAGTAGAGGGATTTGGAGTGCGAGGAGGTAAAACTGATTGGTCTGTGTGCGTCGCAGGTGAGAGAGGTCCCTCCTTATGCGGGGACCGAGTACTGTTCCTGTCCTCTCTGTCCTTGTGGGGGTTCCGTTCCCTGCCCACCAGAAACAGGCCAATCACACCCACCTATAGGAACCAGGGGCAGCCCACCCTCTCTGCACGACAATGCCGCCTCCCACAGTCCCGGCTGTCCTGGGTGCAGGACCTCTGTGTGCTGTATGGACTGTGAAGGTGCGTGACTGATAAAGTGCTGTCAATTCATCTGACCCGTGTTTGGCCACCCCTGTGATCCCCGATGGATGGGTAAACAGTTCCTTATTCAGAGTGGCACAGCCCCTGTGTGGCAGGCGGCTGGTCCAGGGTGGCTGGGCTGGATTTCAGACCCCACCTGCCTCTTGGCTGGGTGCTGGTGCAGGACGCAACCTGCGCACCTGTCCCTGGCACCTCCTCTAGCAGGCTCATTTAGCCAGCTCCGGCCCATGCTGGGAGGGAGGCCCCCAAATCATTCCCCCTTCACAGATGAGGGCTCTGTAAGTGGTGGGGGTGAGGGTGGCCCGTCTCCAGTCGGGGTGGCTGAGTAGGTGTGTGAAGGTGTGGGTGTGGCAGGGAAGGGAGAGGACCCGCGGCGTCCACGGAGCTGACCGGGGCAGCCAGGCTGGGCGAGACCACCGGGCTTCCACCCTCGGATGGGAGAAGAGGCAACTCTGTCTGTCCCCCAAAGTTTTTTACCAAAGGGCTCCACACGGCAGATTTCTAGAGCCAGGTGCTTTCTAGAGTGACCACCTCTTGCTGGTCGCCCCTGGCCACAGCTGATGCCCTAGAATAGTCCAGAGAGGAGAGTGGGGGTGAAGCAGCTGCAGCACGGAGGGCCGAGCTGGGCCGCGTTAGGGAAGGGGAGCCTGCGACTTCAGGGCTTTTCCTGTGCTGTGTCCCCCAACCCAGGACAGTGCTGAAACACTAGGCAAGGGCCATCGGCGAAGTAAGTCAAAGAACAAGTCAAGGCCCTGCTTCCGCGGGGTGAGCTGCGGCACCTCCACCTGGCTTCGCGGCAGGCCCTGGGGTGGGGGTGAGGGCGTCTGTGGCTCTGGGAAGATGCCCCTTGAGACGCAGGGAGCTGGGGCTGAACTTGGTGCTGGAGGGAGCGAGGCTGGGGGAGTTTTTTGTTTCCTTGTCAAAGGCCACTTCACAACGGAGGTGATTCTGGCTACAAGACAGAGCGGGGAATGTCCCCTCCTGCTATTCTCGGGGGTGAGGGCGTGGAAAGCACTCACAGTGCGTCCCTCTGGCCTGGCCTTGGTGGGAACAGGGGACCAGGACCAGGGAAGATGCTGTGGGCCTTCTCGGGTGGGTTTTGGTGAGAGGTTCCGGAACCTGCTTGGGCGCTCGCCCCAGCCTGGCTGGCGGCTGGGCCTGTCCCTAGCCATCACCTTTCCTGCCTAAGGTGCAGCTGCAGCCGGGCCAGGACCCTGAGCTCCGTCACTTCATCCCTCCCACCTGCCTTTCTGCCCATCAGCGGAGCAGCCTGTCATCGTCCTGCAGGGGGGCTGTGGAGCTGAACCCCAACCAACTCCATCCAGTCCCTCCCTGGGTGGCCGCGGGCACTCACTGACTCTCCAGGTCCTGGATGGTGTCGGGGAGGGGCAGTCCCTGGGTCTCCGGGAGGGAGAACAGAAGCAGGCTGGACGCGATGGGGATGGCGCCGTAGGAGAGGGCGGGCAGCAGGGGCAGCGCCTGGTGGGCCAGCCTGACCAGGGGCCCCATCATAGCTCCCAGGCGGCCCACCGACTGCAGGAAGCCATCCGCGGTCATCCTGTGGGGAAGGGGGCCCAGGGCCACGTCACGGCTGCCACCACTGCAGCCGCGGGGTGCCGGGAAGGGCTGCAGAGTGGCCCGCCCCAAGGCCGCCCACAAATGCTGCCTCCTCCCCGGGCCACCTGGAGTCCCCCTCTGGTCCTTTAGGAGGACTCTGCAGCGCCTGTCATTTCTTTAGGTGACCAGGGCTCACCTCAGCGCTCCCGGGAGGCCACTGAGTTCAGGTTTCCCCACGACAGCCACAAACTCAGTGAATATTCACCCAGAACAAGCTCAGGAGAGGCCGGGCCGACGGGAGAACGGGGCCCCACAAGTGGCCCCACGAGCCTCCCGCCCTCTGCCAGGCGAGTCTGTCACCCCGGGCCTCAGTCACCCAACTGTCAGCCGTGGGCCGTGCAGGCTCCAGAGGCCGGTCCTACAGGTCGGTCTGCCCAGGGGCCCGAGCATGGCAAGCCCCAGGCAGGAGGCCCCAGTCGGCCTGTGCTGGGAGGTCCTTCCCGGCCCTGGCTGTGGATCGGGGTCCCCCCCAGGCCCCCCGGGGTCCCTGTCTCGCCGTGCCTTAACCCTGACGGCCCTTCCAGGCAGCCAGCCTACCGCAGCGGGGTGGGGAAGAGCTCCGTCCTGTAGACGGTGAGGCAGGTCAGGCTCAGCCCAAAGCATCCTTTCCCCAGCACAGCCAAGGCCACGCGCAGGGTCTGCAGGTCTGCGCAGAGGAGGGGGCGGTGGGTCTGCACGCGGGCACCCCGAGAGCAGCTGGCGGAAGCAGGGGGCCGCGCCCTCCTGCCAGCCCCCGGCAGGGCTGATGCAGGGCCAGCCACCAGAGAGAGCCAGGTGGGGACAGTGCCGAACGAGGTAGCCTGGCCGTGGGCTGGGCCCCGAAGCCATCTCCCTGCCTTGGCCTGTCTGCAGGCACCGGGGGTGGGGGGTGGCACGGGCCTGGCAAGAAGGTCCCCGTCTGGCTCACTCTGCCAAGGGCCTCGACTTCCCCTCCCACCCCTGGTCACAAAGGGCCTCGAGGGCTGGGGTGTGGCTCTGTGGCAGAGCGCGGACTAGCATGGGGGAGGCCCTGGGTTTGATCCCCAGCACCTAAGGAAAAAAATAGGAAAATCTTCTAAACGGTCGGGCGAGATCCCCAGAAAAGCTTGGTCTTTGGAGGTGTTCTCAGTGCAGCGTGTCACTGGGCGCTCGGCTCCTGCTGTGGCCTGCGGGGGTGGGACACTGTCCCCCTCCTCCTCCATCAGACCCTCCTGGCTGCCGCGGGCGTCCTCTGCCTCCCTCCCGGCTCTGGGGCTTCACAGCCTCATTCAGAAAGAAGAAGGGAAGACGGGGCCCTTGGCAGTCTCCCCAGATCCCTGCACACACCTGACGTGCTGTTTAATGAGAGAGAAGAAATGCATGTGCACACACACGCACACGCACGCACGTGGCTCGCACAACGCACACACTGACTGTGCTCCGTGCTCTCTCCGCCTCAGTGTGAGCAACAGCTCTACCCGCCCCCGGCTGTCTCACTAGCTGAGTGACCTTGGGCACCGGCTTGGCCTCTCTGAACCTCAGGGGCAGGGCTGGGTGGGGGCACTGGATTCCTGAGCCAGGGCAACAAAGGCGGCGAGTGTGACCGTCAGAGCTGGCGGACAGTGACTGTGGCCACAGACACGCTCCTCTCTGGGGCTGGGGGAGGGGAGGAGGCCAGATGGCCAGTGCGGTGGGGTGGGCAGGGAAGCGGGTCCCTGGGCCTCACCTTGTGGCACCAGCATGTTGGCCAGGATGGAGACGCCGGCCAGGGCCTGGGACCCTGCCAGCGTTATGCGGCGGCCAAAGAACCTGAGCGAGAGGATGGTGGTGGCCCGGCCCAGGAGGTCCACAGCTCCGAAGAGGGCCTGCAGGAGGAAGATGTCCCTGCCCAGGCTCTGCAGGTCCAGGACCAGCCCGTAGTAGGAGAACAGCAGGGAGAAGCTGCGGGCAGAGCCAGAGGTGGGTTCCCGCCCACAGAGGAGAGGGACCCCAGCCCCCGAGTCACCTCCCACCACCCACGAGGTCTACCCGTCAGAGCTTGCCATGGCCAGAGCGTGAAAAGCTTGTCCAGTGCAGGACGTGTCTCCCAGGGCCAGGCTCCCCCCAGAAAGAGGCAGGGAGGCCACAGCCTCCAGTCCACACCCCGGCAGGGTGGCAATGGGCTGGGGCAGTCCTCCTGGGCTCCCTGGCCACTGACCAGCTGGATGACCTAACGCTGTCTTGGTTGGTCCCAAGGCCAGTCTCAGGGGTCTCCATGGGTCAAGCTGTGCTGCCCCTTCAGTGCCCCCCAGCCCTCTGGCTTGTTTCTAGAAGCCAGTCACACAGACGGGTCTCCAGGTGCTACATCCTTGAAGTCTTGAAAGACAGGACACTCACCCGGTGGGTCCCCAGGGGACTCTGCAGCCAAGGCTCCTTCAGGGCAGAGGACCCGTTTCCCAGCCCTCGGGAGTGCGGTCCTCAGCTGGTGGCCACAGCCCACAAGAGCCGCAGAGGCTGGAAGAGCCACCCAGCCCCCAGCTCCTAGACCCCTGCCTGCCTCCTCTCCGGTGGGCTCCTGGGGGCAGCCCCAGCCCGGGAGCCCCCAGGCATCTGAACCACAGAACCTGGGTCTCCACCCTCCGCAGGTGGGAGTCACACCCGGCCCCACGGTGAGGTGAAATTAATCCCGCCCCTTTTAAAATGTGTCCCCATCCTCTTAGGATGGCCGCCGCCCTCAGCCCTGCCTTCTGGCCATGACCACTGCGCCCCGAAGCCGGCAGAGCTCAGGGTTTCTATGCAAGTGTCACTCGAGGCCAGCATGAATGGGGCCCAAAGTGGCCAGGGCACTCAGGGATCCGGAACCTTCCTCGGTAACAGCTGGGTTACCAGCTGACACCCAAGAGGGTCTCGGCTCGCAGCCCCTTTCTGCATAACGGAGGACACTGGCCGCAAAGGAGGGAGCCTGGAAGGTTTTCTGAGCGGGGATGGGGGGTGGGGGGGGAGTGGCCCTGGATGTTGGCCTCCTCCTAATTTATCAGAAAAAATTAGGCTAAAAATAGAAGAGTGTAAGAAGCATTTGATCCTATTCTGTGTCCGAGGTGGCGGATATTTGCTGGGGTAGCCCGTAGGTAGTTATGTACAGCACAAAATAAACTTTTCCCCTATCTTCAGTCTTATTTCAAGATAAAATTCTAATCGACCTGATCTTCATTCCTCATAAGCTGTTGGACGTCACTTCAACGGAATTTAAGGGGCTTTTGCAGGTCCCAGGTGGCCCTGGGCCCCAGGCGGGGCCTCCCTGGCGTGGGGCCTGGTGGTGACAGAGCCCTTGAGCCGGAGGCCGCTCACTTTGGGTTCTAGCGCCAGCTCCGTCATCTTGGGTGGGTCACTGGGCCTGCTGGCCTCCACTTTCCCCCTCTGTGGAGTGGGGGGCCCTGAGGGGAGAGGCGATGCCCGGCCGGTCGCCCTCCGGGCTGCAGCTGCTGGGATAACTCCAAGGCCCACAGCAGCCTCGGTTGGTCCCTGTCTGAGCCTGACCAGTGCTGGCTCCACAGCTGGCCAAACCCACACCAGCCTCTGGGTCCCTTCCACCCTCCCTGCCTGCCAGGCCTCTGGCCTCCTGGGCACTCCTGTGAGGCCCGAGGACACTGTGTTGCCTGGACACCGGCCCATGTCCCAGTCCTGTCTCTGGGAGAAGGGACCAGGACAGCGTACTTCACCATCAGCATGGCACAGGTCCTCCAGCGGAGCATGGGCACCCGGAAGAGGTCCAGCACTGACCCATGGTCCTCTGCAGAGGCCATCTCTTCTTCCATGCTGGACATCAGCACCTCCAGGGAGAACAGGGCACAGTGATGTTGGGACAATGGCCCTGCCTGCCTCACGCCTGGAGTGGTGTCCAGGTGTGGGGAGGGGTGGGAGGGGCCTGTGGCCCAGGCTGGCATGCTCCCCTGTCCATCTCCGTCCCCTGGCTGGCTCCAGAGCAGGCTTGCCGTAGCCAAGCCACTCCTCAGTGCTCCCCGAGTGTCCACCCTGTCCTCCTGTGCCTCTGGTCCTGCCCACCCTGTGTTCATCTCAGCCCCACCATGACTTCCTCCTTGGAAGCCTGCTCCGTCCTCCCACCCCCAAGAGCTCAGGGTTCCTCTAGTCTCTGCAGCACGTCCCCATCTGACACCTGCTTTCTGGAAAGAGCTACCTTTAAATAAGCAAAACCTGTTCCCCAAATACACTGAGAAGTGCCAGGAGGCAGGTGTGCAGCACATGCGGGCTGGCGGTGGGTGGTGCAGGTGATAATGAGGGCGTTTTGTTTTTGGTGGTGATGGTGAGGATAGTGATGACGGTGGTGAAGGTGATGGTGGTGGTGGTGACAGTGGTGATGGTGGTGACAGTGGTGATGGTGGTAACAGTGGTGGTGATGGGGGTGATGATGATGGTGGTGGTGATGGTGACAATGGTGATGGTGACAATGGTGATGGTGGTGACAGTGGTGGTGATGGGGGTGATGATGATAGTGGTGGTGATGGTGATGGTGGTGACAATGGTAATGGTGGTGATGGTGATGGTAACAGTGATGGGGTGATGGTGATGATAGTGGGGATGGTGATGGTGGAAATGATGGTAATGGTGGTGATGATGGTGATGGTGGTGATGGTGGTGGTGGTGACAGTGGTGATGATGGTGATGGTGATGATGGTGACAATGGTGATGTAGTGATTGTGATGGTGGTGACAGTGGTGATGTAGTGATTGTGATAGTGGTGACAGTGGTGATGGTGGTGACAGTGGTGATGATGGTGATGGAGATGGTGATGGTGGTGACAATGGTGATGGTGGTGATGGTGATGGTGACAGTGATGGTAGTGATGGTGATGATGGTGGTGATGGTGCTGGTGGTGATGGTGATGGTGGCAATGATGGTAATGGTGGTGATGATGGTGATGGTGGTGATGGTGGTGGTGGTGACAGTGGTGATGATTGTGATGGTGATGATGGTGACAATGGTGATATAGTGATTGTAATGGTGGTGACAGTGGTGATGGTGGTGATGGTGGTGATGATGGTGATGGTGGTG